GAGCCCCCTCAGCCCCCAGGATGACGGGCAGCCTGGTGTCCGACCGCAGCCACGACGACATCGTCACCAGGATGAAGAACATCGAGTGCATCGAGCTGGGCCGGCACCGCCTCAAGCCCTGGTACTTCTCTCCGTACCCGCAGGAGCTGACGGGGCTCCCGGTGCTCTACCTGTGCGAGTTCTGCCTCAAGTACGGCCACAGCCTGCGCTGCCTGCAGAGGCACCTGGTAAAGGGGGCACAGGGGCACTGGGGGGGGCAGGGAGGTTTGGGGGGGGGTTTGGGTGGGTTTAGGGGGATTTGGGGGGGCTTTGAGGGGATTTGGGGGGGAGTTTAGGAGGGTTTAGGGAGATTTGGGGGGGTTTAGGTGGGCTTACAGGGATTTGGGGGCAGTTTAGGTGGGTTTTAAGGGGATTTGGGGGAGTTTCAGGGAGGTTTGGGGGGAGTTTAGGTGGGTTTAGGGGGATTTGGGGGGGTTTGGGTGGGTTTTAGAGGGATTTGGGGGGAGTTTCAGGGAGTTTAAGGGGAGTTTAGGTGGGTTTAGGGGATTTGGGGAGTTTCAGGGAGGTTTGGGGGAGTTTTAGCAGGATTTGGGGAGTTTTAGGGGGCTTTGGGGAGAGTTTGGGGGAGTTCAGGAGGATTTGGGGTAGTTCTAGGGGGATTTGGGGGGAGTTTTAGGGGAGTTTTAGGGGGATTTGGGGGAGTTTTGAGAGGCAGGACAAAGCCGGACCCAAGAATCCCTGATTTGGGGCATCCCCAGAGGGATTTGAGGAGATTTTGGGGGGAGTTTCAAGGGGATTTGGGGGAGTTTTAGGTTGAAATTTAGACACCCTCTTACCCCCAATTCCCTCCCCCTAAACTCCCTCCATTTCTTCTCCCCGATTTCCCTTTTCCTCCCCTTCTTCCCTCCCCATTTTCACCCCTGATCTTCCCCTTCCATCCCCCACCCCAAACCCCCCAAAACCCCCCCAAAACCTCCCCAAACCCCCCCCAAAAACCCCCCCAGACCAAGTGTGACCTGCGGCACCCCCCTGGCAATGAGATTTACCGCAAGGGCACCATCTCCTTCTTCGAGATCGACGGCCGCAAGAACAAGGTCAGGGGGGCTTGGGGGGCTCTGGGGAGGGGTCCCGGGGGGCTCCCCCCAATCCCACCCCAGCTGAGCCCCCCGGGACCCCTCCCCAGAGCTATTCCCAGAACCTCTGCCTCCTGGCCAAGTGTTTCCTGGACCACAAGACCCTTTACTACGACACCGACCCCTTCCTCTTCTATGTCATGACCGAGTACGACTGCAAAGGCTTCCACATTGTGGGGCTACTTCTCCAAGGTGGGGGGCCTGGGGGGATTTGGGGTGTCTGGAGGGGATTTGAGGGGGAACTGGGGGGTCTAGGGGGGATTTGAGGAGATTTGAGGGGGATTTGAGGAGTCTGGAGGGATTTCAGGGGGGTTTGGGGGGGCCTGGAGGGGAATTTGTGGGGGTCTAGGGGGGATTTGGGGGGTCTGGAGGGGATTTAGGGGGTATTTGTGGTGTCTGGGGGGGATTGGAGGGGGAATTGGGGGGTCTGGAGGGGATTTGAGAGAATTTGGAGGGGATTTGAGGTGGATTTGGGGGGTCTGGAGGGGATTTGAGAGAATTTGGAGGGGATTTGAGGTGGATTTGGGGGGTCTGGAAGGGGTTTGGGGAGAATTTGGGGGGAAATTTGGGTGTTTGAGGGAGTGGATGGGAGCACTGAGGGATGGAGGAGCGGGGAAGGGGGGGAAAGAGGGGATTTGGGAATTGCTGAGGGATTTTGGGAGCTCCCAGGAGGGATTTTGGGGTGGTCCCAGGGGATTTTGGGATCCGATCCTGGGGGATTTTCAGGTGCAATCCCAGAGACTTTTGGGGTGGTCCCAGAAGTTTTTGGGGTCCCATGCTGGGGTTTCCTGCAGGAGAAGGAGTCGACCGAGGATTACAACGTGGCCTGCATCCTGACCCTGCCCCCGTACCAGCGCCGCGGCTACGGCAAGCTGCTCATCGAGTTCAGTCAGTGCCCCCAAACCCTGGGGAGCCCCAAACCCCAGCCCAAATCCCACCCCAGAGCCCAGCCCAAACCCCAGGGAACCCCAAACCCCACCCCAAACCCTGGGGAACCCCAAAACCCAGCCCAAACCTCACCCCAGGCCCTGGGGAACCCCAAAACCCACCCCAAACCCCAGCCCAAACCCTGGGGAACCCCAAAACCCACCCCAAACCCAAACCCCACCCCAAACCACACCCCAAACCCTGGGAATTCCCAAATCCCACCCCAAACCCTACCCCAAACCCTGGGAAATCTCAAATCCCACCCCAAACCCCCAAGTCCCACCCCAAATCCTGGGAAATCCCAAAACCCACCTCAAAACCTGGGAAATCTCAAATCCCACCCCAAATCCCACCCCCAACTCACCCCAAACCCTTGGGAAATCCCAAATCCTACCCCAAATCCCCCCCCCCAAAATCACCTGTCCCAGCCCTGTCCCTACCTGTCCCCTCTGTCCCACCTCTCCCACCTGTCCCTCCCCTGTCCCAGCCCTGTCCTTCACCTGTCCCCCACCTGTCCCTCACTCGTCCCCCTGTACCTGTCCCCTCTGTTTCACCTGTCCCCTGTTCCCCTCACCTGTCCCCTCTGTTTCACCTGTCCCCCTGTCCCTCACCTGTCCCCCCTGTTTCACGGTCCCCTCTGTTTCACCTGTCCCCTGTCCCTCACCTGTCCCTCACCTGTCCCCTCTGTTTCACCTGTCCCCTGTCCCCCACCTGTCCCCTCTGTTTCACCTGTCCCCTGTCCCCCTCACCTGTCCCCTCTGTTTCACCTGTCCCCTGTTCCCCTCACCTGTCCCCACTGTTTCACCTGTCCCCTGTCCCTCACCTGTCCCTCTCTTGTCCCACCTATCCCAGTCCTGTTCCCGGCTGTCCCCTGTGTGTCCCCCGTCCCTCCCAGCCCCTCACGTGTCTCACCTGGCGCAGGTTACGAGCTGTCCAAGGTGGAGGGCAAGACGGGCACCCCCGAGAAGCCGCTCTCGGACCTGGGGCTGCTCTCGTACCGCAGTTATTGGTCCCAGACCATCCTGGAGATCCTCATGGGGCTCAAGGCCGAGGCTGGCGAGCGGCCCAGATCACCATCAAGTGAGACACGCCCCCTTCCGGCAGACACGCCCCCTTCCCGCGGACACGCCCCCTCCCCGCAACCACATTCCCTTTATAGACCCGCACCCTGAGGCTCCACCCCTTCCCAAAGCTCCACCCACACAGGAATATGCAAGACTGACAGGTCACTCACACCATGCCCCTTCATAAAGCCACACCCCTTTCTCTGAGGCTCCACCCCTTCCCAAAGCTCCGCCTACACTGAGCAATACCCAATATGGCAGCTCATTCAGGCCACGCCCATTTACAGAAGACATGCCCCTTTTGTGCCACAAGGATCCTCCCCCTCCCCAAAGCCCCGCCCACCACAAGGGGAATGACAGCGTCTCCAGGCCACACCCACCCTGCCAAAAGCCACACCCAAGACTCCGCCCCACCTGTCAATCAATGCTGAGCATGGCAGAAGACCTCCTCCAGGCCACGCCCCCCAAAGTTTAACCACGCCCCCCATTTGAAGCTCCACCCCTTCATTTTCCCAACCTGGGTGGGGTTTGGGGGTGTCAGGTGGGTCTGGGGGATTTTAGGGAGTTTTTGGGGGGGGTCAGGGGGTGGAGCCCCCCCTGATTTGCCCCTCCCCCAGTGAGATCAGCGAGATCACGAGCATCAAGAAGGAGGACGTGATCTCCACCCTGCAGTACCTGAACCTCATCAACTACTACAAGGTGGGACCCCAACACACCTGGGGGGGCCCCAACACACCTGGGGGGCCTGGGGGGGTCCCACACACCTGGGGGGCCATGAAATACCTCCCTGTGTCCCCCTTTGGACACCTGGCTGACACACCTGTGCACACCTGTCCCACCTGTGCACACCTGTCCCGCAGGGTCAGTACACCCTGACACACCTGTACACACCTGTGGCAGGGTCAGTACACTCTGACACACCTGTGCACACCTGTACACCACCTGTGCAGGGTCAGTACACCCTGACACACCTGTGCACACCTGTCCCGCAGGGTCAGTACATCCTCACACACCTGTGCACTCCTGTCCCACCTGTGCATACCTGTACACACCTGTGCACACCTGTCCCACCTGTACAGGGTCAGTACACCCTGACACACCTGTGCACACCTGTACAGGGTCAGTACACCCTGACACACCTGTGCACACCTGTACAGGGTCAGTACATCCTCACACACCTGTGCACACCTGTCCCACCTGTCCCACAGGGTCAGTACACCCTGTCTCACCTGTGCACACCTGTGCACACCTGTCCCACAGGGTCAGTACACCCTGTCCCACCTGTCCCACCTGTGCAGGGTCAGTACACCCTGACACACCTGTGCACACCTGTGCACACCTGTCCCACAGGGTCAGTACATCCTGTCCCACCTGTCCCACCTGTGCAGGGTCAGTACACCCTGACACACCTGTGCACACCTGTACAGGGTCAGTACACCCTGACACACCTGTCCCACCTGTCCCACCTGTGCAGGGTCAGTACACCCTGACACACCTGTGCACACCTGTCCCATAGGGTCAGTACATCCTGACACACCTGTGCACACCTGTACAGGGTCAGTACACCCTGACACACCTGTCTCACCTGTGCAGGGTCAGTACATCCTGACGCTGTCCGAGGACATCGTGGAGGGCCACGAGCGCGCCATGCTCAAGCGTTTGCTGCGCATCGACGCCAAGTGCCTGCACTTCACCCCCAAGGACTGGAGCAAGCGCGGGAAATGGTGAGGCCACGCCCACCCGGGCCACGCCCACGCAGGACACACCCAGGCTATGCCCTGCCAGGTCTGGCCACGCCCCATTGGGCCACGCCCCATTGGGCCACGCCCCCTGTGTTACCTGGCGCCGCTCATTAAACAGCACCTGGCCCCGCCCATGCCTGGCGCTGCAAATCCTTTATTGACCATAAAGGGGTGGGGTTTGATCAGGCTACGCCCACTGTGGGAGTGGCTTTTGACTGCTCCTCCCACTGTGGGCATGGCATCGGGTGTGGGTGTGGCTTTGGGAGGCTCCACCCACAGTGGGAGAGGCATAATTTGTGGGTGGAGCCTCCTATGAATATATTTGGTCTTTTAAATAAAGTAGGTGGAGCTTCCACAGGCTCCACCCACACTAGGAGGGGCTCCAGGCACTCTGAGTGTGACCAGCTATGTTAATTAGGTGGGCGTGGCTGCAGTTGATCCATTGATGTAATGGAAAGGTGTGGTTTGCATAAGCTCCACCCCCCTCTGGGCGTGACCTGTCATGGTTCCGCCTCCTCCTCGCTGTCCTCGGTCACAGGGGCGTGGAGCTGGGGGAGGGGCACAGTCAGGGGGGGCCAGGGACCCCCAAATGTGACCCCAGACCCCCCAAAAGTGACCCTGAACCCCCAAGTGTGACCCCAGCCCCCCCAAATGTGACCCCAAACCCCAAAGGTGACCCTGGACCCCCAGATGTGACCCCAGCCCCCCCAAATGTGACCCCAGACCCCCCAAATGTGCCCCCAGACCCCAAATGTGACCCCAAACCCCAAATGTGACCCCAAACCCCAAAGGTGACCCTGGACCCCCAGATGTGATCTCAGACCCCCCCAAAGGTGACCCCAAACCCCCCCAAGTGTGACCTTAAACCCCCAAATGGGACCCCAGGCCCCCAAAATGTGACCCTGGATCCCCCAAAGGTGACCCCAAACACCCCCAGTCACGCCCCCAACCACCCCCAAATGTGACCCCAGAACCCTCCGACCCCCCCAAATACGACCCCAAGCCCCCAAATTGTGACCCCAGCTCCCCCAAATGTGATCCCAGTCCCCCAAATGCACCCCCAACCCCCCCAAAATGTGCCCCCAGGTGCCCCCCCAGACTCACGGCCTGGGCCAGGGGTCCCCACTGCAGGGCCCGGGCCAGGCCCCGCCCGGGGGGGGGGGACGGTGTCACCCCCCCAGTCCGTGATGGCCCCGAACGTCCCCGTCACTGTCACCGACCCGGCCTGGGGGGCAAAGGGCAAAGGGCAGGGGGGACATGGGGCTGAGACCCCCCAAGAGGGGAAATTGGGGGGCTGAGACCCCCAGGAGGGGCTGAGACCCCCGGGAGGGGAAAAGGCGGGGGGGGTCTGAGCCCCATGGAGGGGGTCTGGGGTGGGGAGGGGTCTCTGCCCCAAGGATGAATTTTGGGGGTCTCTTCCTCACCTGGGGGTCGCCCAGGGGGGGCTCTCCGGGCTCCCCCCCCCTCAGCACCACCCCCGTGTAGCCGGGGGGCAGCGGCAGCTCCCGACCCCCCAAACGGCGCCCCCGGAACGAGGCCCAGAGATCTGGGGGGGCGGGGGGACAGAGTGAGGGGGGTAGGGACTCCCAAAACCTCCCTGGGATCCCCAAAAACCTCCCCCTGATCCCCAAAAACCTGCCTGGGATCCCCAAAAACCTCCCCCTGATCCCCAAAACCTGCCTGGGACCCCCCAAACGGCGCCCCCGGAACGAGGCCCAGAGATCTGGGGGGTGGACCCCAAAAACACCCCCAGAACCTCCCCGGGACCCCCAAAACCTCCTTGGGACCCCCAACCCCCCCCCAGAACCTCCCTGGGACCCTCAAAAACCCGACCCAGACCCCCAAACCCGCCCCCTCCCCATTCCCAGAGCCCCCCGCCCGACCCCTTCAAGCCCAATCCCACCCCCCCCAGTTCAGGGTCCCCTCAGGATCCCCTCGCGGCCCTCACCGCCGCCCGGGCCGGGCCGCGCCCTCAGGAACGCGGCCACAGGGGCGGGCCCGTCGTGCTGGACCCGGCAGGGCAGGAGCTGGACCGGGAGCGGCTCCGGGGGAGCCCCGGGAGGAACCCGGACCCGAACCGGAGCCGCCATTTTAGATGGGAGGGGAATTAGGGGGAAGTGACGTCAGAGCGCGCCGGAAGCGGCGGGAGACGCCATTTTGGAGGGAATAAAGATGGCGGCGCCCATGGGGAGGAAAGATGGCGGAAGTGGGAAGTGCAAGGAATGATGGGAGATGTGGTTTGGGGTCGGGGGGGGCTTTTAAGCCCCTCCCCGTGTACTGGGACCCCCCCCAAGACCTCCAGGGACACCCCCAGCCCTATGGGAGCCTCCAGCCCCACAGAGAGACCCCCAGGGACCCCCCCTCACAGAGCCGGACAGAGATTTTGCACTTTCCAAGTTTTTTATTGGGGGGGGTCACAAACGGAGGCTGGGGCTGCCATGTCCTGACAGGTCCTCCCCGCCCCCCCGCTATGTCACGACACAGCTCAGGCCCCGCCCTCCCCTCGCAGCAGCCGCGCGAGCAGCAGGACCCCCCCCCAGCGCTGCCCCCGCACCCGCCCCTCGCCCCTCGGCCCCCCCCGCGCCAGGACCACCCCCCGGGGGGGGGCGGCGGCCGCCAGCGCCCATCCCCCTCCCCCCTCCGCCCCTCCCCCCTCCGAGGGCACCAACAGGGGGGCGAGCGCGGGGGGAGGGGCGGCCGCGCCCCCCCCCAGCACCAGGAGGGTCTCGGGGCCCCCCCCCAGCGCCCCCCAGAGCGCCTCGAAGGCGCCACGAGCCCGGGAGGGGTCCCAGGGCGGGGGGAGGGCGAGGGGGCGGAGCCGGACCCCCAAGGGCAGCTCCAGCGGGGGCAGGGGCGCCAGGAACGAGCCCCCTCCCTCTTTTTGGGGTGTCCCCCCCGCCCGGGCTGAAAATGGCGGCGGCCTCGAGCGAGGGGGGCAGGTCCCGGGGGGGGCGCAGGGTCAGGGTCAGCTCGGCCCCGCCCCCACCCCCCCCGCGACCCCCCCCCAGCGCCGCCAGAGCCCCCTCGGCCCAGGCCCCGCCCCCCCTCAGCAGCACCTGCAGCGCCAGCACGGGGGGGGGCGGGGCTCCAATTTGGGGAGGGGTCCCGGGGTCCCCGGTTTGGGGAGGGGTCCCCTCGGTTTGGGGCCCCCCCAGAGGCTCCAGGCGCAGCCGCAGGGGGAGGGGCACGGGCCGCCCCCCCCCCGCCAGCAGCGCCCCCCCCCAACCCTCGGGGTCCTGGGGGGCTCCGGGGGGGGCGCAGAACGGGGGGGGGGGGGGCCCGGGGAGGCCAAGCGCAGGCGGAGGGGGGGGGGGCGCGGGCAGCAGCGAGGGGGGGGCGCCCCCCCCGGACCCCCCCCCGGAGCCATTTTGGGGAGGGGGGGCGGGGGGCGCAGCGCGGGGGGGGGCCCCAAAACCGCGGCCAATTTGGGGGGGGCCCAGCGCGGCCGCCAGCGCCCCCTGCAGGCGGCAGCGATCCCACAGGTCGGGGTCGCCCCCTCCCCAAAATGAGGGGGGGGTCCCGGGGCGGGGGCGGGCACAGCGGGACCCCCCCGCGGGGCAGGAGGGGGGCGGCGGCGCTCAGGACCCCCTGAGCCCCCCCCCAGCCGCCCCCCCCGGCCGCCAGCGCCCTCCGCAGGTACCCCCGGAGCTGGGGCAGCATTTGGGGGGGGGTCCCGGGGGGGTCCCGCAGCACCTTCAGCACCGCCCGGAGCTGGGGGGAGCCGGGGGGGGGGCGGGGGGGCCCGCAGCACCTGCGCCATCACAGCCCCCCCCAGCGACCCCCCCAAAACCTTGGCGAGCTCCAGCAGGTGCGGGGGGGGCCGCGGGGTGACCCCCGCCCCAATAATTTCTGAGCCGCGACCCCCAACTCCCCCCCCGGGACCCCCCCGAAGCGGCGGCAATAGGCGAGAACGGCCCGGCAGAACACATCGGGGGGACCCCCCCCCAAAAACTCCACCAGCCCCCAGAGCCACTCGCGCCCCCCCGCGATTATTTGGGGGGGGTCGGGGGTCGGGGGTCTCGCAGCCCCCCCCGGGATTTGGGGGGGGGCGCAAAGCGCCGCGGCCGCCTCGAAACGGGGGCAGGAACAGCTCGGGGGGGTCCCCGGCGCCGCCGCCGCCCCCCGGGAACAGCGCGGCCGCCAAATGGGGGGGGCAGCTCCGGGGGGGGGCGGGGCGGATTCTGGGGGTCCCCGCCCCCCCCCTGGAGGAGGCAGAGGAGGAAGAAGAGGCGCAGGGGGGGGGGCAGGGCGGGGTGCAGCGCCAGCGCCGCCAACACGCGGCGCCCCCCCCGCGCCGAGAGCCCCCCCCAGCAGCGCCGCCTGCACCGGGGCCGGGTCCGCTGAGGCCAAAACCGGGGGGGCTCCCGGGACCCCCCCCTCGGCACCGAAATGAGGGAGATGAAGGAGCTGGGCCCGGGCGGGGGGGGGCGAGGCCGAAGGCAGAGCCTGGAGGGGGGGAGGGAGGGGGCGTCAGAAATGGGGGGGGTCCCAAAGGGGGCGAATCTTGGGGGTCCCTGGGATTTGGGGATTGGCGGGGGTCCCCGGGATTTGGGGGTCTTGAACTGGGGGGGGGCTCCGGGATCTGGGGATCCCGGGGGGGTTGGGATTTTGGGGGGGGGGGGGTCCCCTGAGATTTGCGGGGCCTGGGGGGGTCCGGGATTTGGGGGGGTCCCTGAGATTTGCGGGGCCTGGGGGGTCCGGGATTAGGGGGGGGGGGTCTCTGGTATTTGGGGGTCCTTGGGATTTGGGGGGGTCCCCGGGGTTTGCAGGGGATTGAAATGAGGGGGGGTCCTGAGGGGGGAGTCCCGGGGATTTGGGGGTCCCGGGGGAGAGGTCTGGGACTGGGGGGTTCCCGGGGATTTGGGGGGGATCCGTGGCATTTTTGGGGTCCTGGGGGCCCTGGGATTTGGAGGAGGTCCAGAATTTGGGGGGGTCCCAGGGATTTTTGGGGTCTCTGGACTCACCGGGATCCAGCCCCGCCTCTCCCCAGGGATCCGCTGGATCTGGGGGGGCGGGGAAGGGATCAGGGGGGGTCGAGGGATCCCCCAAACCCCCCCCCAGGGACAGTCCCAGCACCAGACTGGGATGTACTGGGATTTACTGGGATCTGCCCAGTTACCTGTGGGATTCCCCAGGATCCACTGGGACCCTCCCAACCCTTACTGGGACACACTGGGACCCTCCCAACCCTTACTGGGACCCACTGGGACCTTCCCGGTCCATATTAGGAACCCCTCAACCCTTACTAGGATTACTCTCAGTCCTTACTGGGACCTTCCCAACCTTTACTGGGACCGACCAGGATCCTCCCAATCTTTACTGGGACCCACTGGGACCGTCCCAGTCCATACTGGGACCCTCTCAGTCCATTACTGGGGCCCACTGGGACCCTCCCAGTCCATACTGGGACACACTGGGACCCTCCCAGTCCATACTGGGACACACTGGGACCATCCCAGTCCATACTGGCACCTTCCCAGTCCATACTGGGACCCTCCCAGTCCATACTGGTGTCCCCCACTCACCTCCCGCCCCCCTCCGCCCTCAGCAGCAGCAGCGGCTGCAGCGCGGGGCAGCCCCGGCCGGGGGTCCCGAGGGGGGTCTCGGGCACCGGCCCCGATGCGGCGCAGCTCCCGCAGGCACTCGGCGGCCGCCGCCGGGGCCCCCCCCGCGCCCCCCGGGCGCTGCAGCAGCGCCGCCAGCGCCGCCAGCCCCGGGCGGTCCCCGCGGGCCGCGAGCACCGAGAGAGCGGCCACGAGCAGCAGCGAGCGGGGGGGGGCCCGGGGCCGGCACCGCCGGGGGCGGCTCGGCCAGCAGCGCCAGCAGAGCCCCCCCGGGACCCGAACCGGAACCGGCGGCACCGGAACCGGCGGAGCTCCAATCATCGCCCCCCGCGGAACCATCCGGGCACGGCGGGGAATCGAGCAGCAGCAGCAGCAGCTCCGTCTGAAATTGGGATTGGGGAGGGGGCGCTGAGACCCCCGGAGGGACCCCCCCCGCATCATGGGACCCCGAATGGCTCCAGCAGGGACCAAAAAATTCTCCTGAAGGGACCCCAAATTCCCCTTGAGGAACCAAAAATCATCCCCAGGGACCCCAAATCATCCCCAGGCAACACAAATTCCCCTCAGGGGACCCCAAATTTCCCTTAAGGAAACCCAAATTTCCCTCAAGGGACCCCAAATTCTCCTCAAAGGACCAAAAATTCTCCTTAAGGGACCCCAAATCATCCCCAGGGTCCCCAAATCACACCCAAATATCCCAAATCCTACTCAAGGCACCCCAAATTCCCCTCAGGTGACCCCAAATCACACTCAGGGACCCCAGCCCCGGCCCCGCCCCTCTCTCCCGTCGCACACCTGATGACGTAGAGAGAGGCGGGACCGGCGCAGGGCCGGGGGCGCGGGGGGCGCGAGCGCGGCCGCGAGCCGGGCCCAGGGACCCCCCCCCGCCATGGCCGCGGGGGCTGCCGGAGCAAGGTGACGTCACGGCAACCCCGGCCCCCCTCTACGTGACGTCACCCCCCCCCCGCAATGGCCGCGGGAGCTGCCGGGAGCAACGTGACGTCACAGCCCGTCCTCCGTGACGTCCACACGCCGCTCGGAACGCTCGCGGGAAGCGGCGGAGGGGAGGTTGTGACGTCACAGCGCTCCCCTCCCCCCCTAAGGTTTCTGCCCCTCCCCGGTGATGTCACAGCCGGCGTGGGTGGACGTCATCTATGTAGAGTGACGTCATTGGGGCGGGGTTACCCACAGGCGGTTTGGGGGGCTCCTATGGACCCACAGAGCCCCCCCGTGTGTCCCCTCCCCGTGTCCCCCCCCATGTCCCCACTGCCCCCCCCGTGTCCTCCCCGTGTCCCCTCAATGTCCCCCTCATGTCCCCGTGTCCCCTCCCGTGTCCCCCCCCCCCCCGCTCCGGTCGGACCGGCCCCGCTCCTGGGCCCGCCCCCCCGGGCCCCGCCCCGCCCGCACGGACCGGACCGGGGGGGGGGGGGGGGCAGGTGACCCCCCCTGGGGACAGCCTGACCCCCCCATGGTGACACGGGTGTGCAGGTGACCCCCCCGGTGACCTCTGACACCCCGGTCCTGGCGACAGCGCCATCTCTGTGTCCCTCGGTCCTCGTGTCCCTCTGTCCCCATCCCCAATGTCCCCGATGTCCCCACGTCCCTCAGGACAATGTCCCCCTGTCCCCATGTCCCCCTGTCCCCGAAGTCCTCATGTCCCCGAATGCCCACCCGTGTCCCTGATGTCCCCAGGCGCCCCCGATGTCCCCATGTCCCAATGTCCCCAAATGCCCTCCCGTGTCCTGCGATGTCCCCATGTCCCAATGTCCCCCGATGTCCCCGGTGATGTCCCCGGTGTCCCCCGCCCCCGGTGCTGTCCCCTGATGTCCCCCAATGCCCCCCGCTGCTGTCCCCTGATGTCCCCCGCTGTCCCCGGGCCGGGGCGGGGGCTCCCCCGTTATTTCCCAAGACGGCGCCCGCCCGACCGCTCCGGCTGCGGCGCGGCCCGGCCCGACCGGCGGAACCGGTCCGGGACAGCAGCGCGGGGCGGGACGGGGGACGCGCGGCGGGGCGGCACCGCCGGCACCGGCACCGCACGGCACGGAACGGAACAGAACGGCACGGAACGGCTGGGACGGCAGCGGGACAGGACCGGGACAGCACCGCCGGCACCGGGACAGCACCGGGACAGCACCGGGACAGCACCGCCCGGACCGGGACAGCACAACCGGGATAACAGAGCCGGGACAACACCGGGACAGTCGGGATAACAGAGCCAGGACTGGATAACAGAGCCAGGACCGGGATAACAGAGCCAGAACTGGGATAACAGAGCCAGGACCGGGATAACAGAGCCAGAACTGGGATAACAGAGCCAGGACCGGGATAACAGAGCCGGGACCCGGGATAACAGAGCCAGGACCGGGATAACAGAGCCGGGACCGGGATAACAGAGCCAGGACCGGGATAACAGAGCCAGAACTGGGATAACAGAGCCAGGACCGGGATAACAGAGCCGGGACCGGGATAACAGAGCCGGGACCGGGATAACAGAGCCGGGACTGGGATAACAGAGCCAGGACTGGGATAACAGAGCCAGGACTGGGATAACAGAGCCGGGAGCGGCACCAGGACGACACAACCGGGACAGCCCCGGGACAGCGCAGGCAGCCCCGGTGCTGAGGGGGCAGCGCGGGGCTCGGGGCCGGTGACAGCGGGTGGGGACAGCGGGTGGGGACAGCGGTGACAGCGGTGACGCCAGACCGGGATCAGGCACCAGAACTGCCCCAATCCCCGGGATCTGAGCCCAAATCCGGGATCCAGCACCGGGATTGGGAATCCAGCACCAACCCCGACCGGGAGCTGAAATCAACCAAACCCTCGGGATCTGGCATCAAAACTCACCAAAGATCTGGGGTTTGGTGCTGATTGTGACCAAATATTGGGATCCGGCACCGAAACTGCCCAAGGATTTGGGGCCGGCTGTGGGTGTTGACCAAAGGCTCCCGGATCTGGGATCGAACTCAACGGGGATCCAGCATCGAACCTGACTGAGGATCCTGCGGGGGATCCATTGGGATCAGGATCCAGTGGGATCAGGGGATCCATCAGAATCCATCGGGATCTATCCGGATCCATCGGCCAGGGTCAGGGATCCATTGGGATAAATCAGAATCCATCAGGATCCATTGGGATCAATCGGGATCCATCGGGTTTGATCAGAATCCATTGGGATCCATCGGGATCAATCAGGATTCATCAGAATCCATCGGGATCCATTGTGATCAATCGGGATCTATCAGAATCCATCGGGATCTATCGGGATCTATCGGGATCCATCGTCTCCGCCATGCCGCGCGCGTTCCTGGTGAAGAAGCCGGTGGTGGCCACGGCCAAGCGCAACTGGAGCGAGCTCCCGGGACGAGCAGCGGGCCGAGATCTACGTGCCCAGTATGGGGGGGCATCGGGGGGGGCTGGGATCCATTGGGAGATGGGATCTGGGGGGCCCGGGGATCTGGGGGCACCGGGATCCATGGGGAGATGGGGATCTGGGGGGATTCGGGGATTTAGGGGGGCCAGGGGTCCAGGAAAACTCAGGAATTTGGGGGGCTCAGGAATTGGGGGGGCCCCAGGTGTTCTTTGGGGTTCAGGTGCTGGGGGGGACCCTGAAGTCTGGGGGGCTGTGTCAGGAATTTGGGGGTTCCGGGTGTTTGGAGGGACCCCGGAATTTGGGGGAGAAGCCTCAGGGTTTGGGGGGGTCCCAGGAATTTGGGGAGTCCTGGGTGTTTTGGGGGTGTGTGGAAGGGCTAAAGAATTCCGGGATTTTGGGGATCCAGGAGTTTCAGGGGCCCCCATTTTGGAGGTTTTGGGGTGACCTCCTTCCCCTCCAGGGGCGTCCCCTTAGTGACAGAATTGGGGTTCAGCCCAAAATCCCACCCAAACTCTGGGACGGGGGGGGGTTGGAGAGGATTTTGGGGTGCCCGGACCCCCTGGACCCTTTTTGGGGTGGGGGTTTTGGACACCCGGGAGGGTTTGGGGAGGATTTGGGGGTGATTTTAGGGGGGTTTGGGCTGCTGGCTTGGGTGGGGGAGGGGATTTTTGGGTGTCGCCCGTGTCCCCCCGGGGGGGGCGGGGGTGGCGTCCCCCCCCCGGGGCCCACGCGGGCGCCACCCGCCGGAAACCCCTAATTTGGGGCGTAATTCGGGCGGTAATTTGGGGTGTCGCGGCCCGAGCCGTCCGACCGGTCCGGGGAACCCCAAAAGGGCGGGGGAGAGGAGCGGGGGAGGGGCCCCCCCAAATCCTCCTCCTGCCATGGGGGCGGCGGGGGGGGGCACGTTTGGGGGGTCCCCATTGTGGGGTCCGAATTGGGGAGGGGGGAGGTCAAATTTGGGGTGAATTCTGGGGGGGTTTTTGGAGGGATCCCGTTTTGGGGGGGGTCACATTTGGGGTGATTTTGGGGGGTTTTTTTGAGGGATCCCGTTTTGGGGAGGGGGTTTGGGGGTGCAGGACCCCCCCCTAAAGCCGTGCCCCCCCCCCCCAGTCTGTTTGGGGGGCTGCCCCCTGCGCAGGGACCCCGAGCCGGCCGTGGGGGAGGCCCCCGCGTCCCCCGTGTCCCCCCTGGACATGACGCTGCCCCCCCGCGCCCCCCCCGGCCCCTTCCTGCACCCCAAGGGAAAGGTAAGGGGGGGACCCCAAATTTGGGGGGGGGGGGGGCTGGAGGGATGGGGGGGGTGAAAAGTGAAATGGGGGGGGCTGAAATTGGGGAGGGGCTGAGAGTGGGGGTCTCCAAAATGGGGGGGGTCCCCATGAGCACGGAGGTCCCCAGAATTAGGGGTGCCCAAACTGGGGGGGGTCCCCAGAATTGGGGGTGCCCAAGGTGGGAGGTCCCTGGGAATGGGGGGGTCTCTGTGATGGGCGTTCCTGATGGGGGGGACGGGGTCTCCAAAACTGGGGGGCCCCAATTTGGGAGGGGTCCCCAAAAGCCAGGGGGGTCACCAAGGTGGGCTGGGGGTCCCCAAAACCAGAGGTTCCCAAGGGCTGGGGTCCCCCACGGCTGGGGGGGTCCCCAAAACTGGGGGGGGGTCTCTCCCCATAACCGGGGGGTCCCAAGGGGGGAGCCCCCCCCATTTAACCCCTTCCTCCCCTCTCTCTGCAGGTCCCATCCGGGCCTTTGGGCGCCCCCCTGCCCCCGGGGCTGCCCCTGGCCGGGGGGGTCCCCGTGGGGGTCCCGGTGGCCGGGGGGGTCCCGGGGGGCTCCGAGCTCTTCTCGTGCCCCGTGTGCCACAAGAGCTTCGGGTTCCAGCGGATGCTGAACCGGCACCTCAAGTGCCACAGCGAGGTCAAGCGGCACCGCTGCCCCTACTGCGGGAAGGGCTTCAACGACACCTTCGACCTCAAGCGCCACGTGCGCACCCACACCGGTGAGAGCGGGGCTGGAACGGGATTGGGATGGGAATGGGATGGGATTGGGATGGGATTGGGATGGGATTGGGATGGGGAAAGGTTCAACAGCGCCTTCGACCTCAAGCGCCACGTGCGCAGCCACACCGGTGAGAGCGGGGCTGGAAACGGGATTGGGAATGGGTGGGAACAGGACTGGGGTGGGGACAGGGACAGTGACAGCAACCAGTCCGGCCCAGCCTCCTCTCACTCCCCTGTCCCCACCTGTCCAGGTGTCCGTCCCTACAGGTGCTCGCTCTGTGACAATGCCCTGTCCCCATTCACTGTCCATGTCCCTCTGTCCCCACCTGTCCAGGTGTCCGTCCCTACAGGCTCTCTGTGTCACAATGCCCTGTCCCTCTGTCCCCACCTGTCCAGGTGTCCGTCCCTACAAGTGCTCGCTCTGTGACAAGGCCTTCACGCAGCGCTGCTCTCTGGAGTCGCACCTGCGCAAGATCCACGGCGTGGCGCAGCGCTACGGCTACAAGGAGCGCCGGGCCAAGCTCTACGTGTGCGAGGAGTGCGGCGGCACCGCCGACAGCCAGGACGCGCACCTGGCGCACCTGCGGCAGCGCCACCCCCCACAGCCCCCTCCTGGCCAAGCTGGCCCGCAAGGCCGCGGCCACGCCCGCGCCACGCCCGGCCCCGCCCCGCGCCGCCCCGCCCCCCTAGGGGATGGATAAAGGGGGCGGGGCCCCGCCCCGTGTGGCTCCACCCCCGCGTGGGATGTGGAAAAGGGGTGGGGCCACGCCCGGCCAGGCCCCGTGCTGCCCCACCCCTGTAGGGGACTCATAAAGGGGGCGGGGCCATGCCCGGTTGGGGAGGGACACGCCCATTTGGGAGGGACACGCCCATTTTGGGAAAGGACACACCCATTTTGAGGTTAGGGGAGGGACACGCCCATTTGGGGGAAGGACACGCCCATTTTGAGGTTAGGGGAGGGACACGCCCATTTTGAGGTTAGGGGAGGGACAACGCCCAGCTGGGACACGCCCATTTAGATAAGGGACACACCCCATTCAGGCAGGGACACGCCCAGTTTTGGGTTGGGGAAAGAAGTGCTCTTGGCCACGCCCAGCAGTGAAATGTGGCCACGCCCATTGGTTTAGGACACGCCCCTTTGGGGGTCATCTAGGGAATTTCCGATTGAAGCCACGCCCACTTTGTCCCCATTGGTAATAAAAGCCCCTCTGTGCTCACTGACCACGCCCCTCGTGATGGAGGCCACGCCCCCTTTGGCACAGGCCCCTCCCCCACACAGCAGGTGCCGTTAGTTCCAGTTTTTATTGCCCGAAACCCCCCAAAATCGGGGGTGGGGGAGGGGGGCGGGGGGGGAGGGGCGGCCCCTCCCTCTCCAGTTCCGCGGGGAGGGGGGGAGGGGTCGCCCCTCCCCCCCCCCAAAGTCCCAGTTCAATTCCCGCCCTTTGGTCACAGGCTCCGCCCCCTCCCCCACCCCCACCCCCGGGGGCGTTTGGCAAAAGCAGAGGGGGGGGGGTGGGGGGGGAATGGGGGAGGGGCGGCCACACCCACCCGACCCCTCCCCACCCTCCCCAAATTCTCCAGATCCCCCCCTAAGGCAGCTTGGCAGCGATGGGGGGAGGGGACCCCAAAAAATGGGGGGGGACCCCCCAAAAAAAAAAAAGGGGGGGGAGGGCAGCTCAAAATGCGGGGGGGGGGCCACAAAACTGGGGGAAATTAAACCCCTCCCCCAAAAAGGGGGTGAGCACCCCCCTCCCAAAACTCTGCTCCACCCCCCCAAGAAGTTTCAGCCCCAAATTTGGGGTGAAATGCCCCAAAAAAATGGGGGGGGGCACCTCAATTATTGGGTGTGTGTGTCCCCCCCCCTCCTGAAATGGATCGTACCACCCTAAAAAAGGGAGCCCCCACCCCCAAATTGGGGTTATCCCCCCCAAAAAAAAATGAGGTGTTCCCCCAAAGCGGGACCCCCCCTTCACGGGGCACCTCTTAATTAAGACGTGGCCCCCCCTTAATTAAAACACGCCCCCCCCCCCAATTAAGGCCTTGTTATAGCGCCCGGCGCCCGCCAGGGGGCGCCACCCGCGGGGAGGGGGCTCTTAAAGGGGCCACGCCCCATTTTGGCGAGGTCGTTTCCAGGGGAGTTTTGGGGTAACTCGGGGGGGGGTTTTTTTGGGGGGGAACCCCCCGAATTCTACTCGATGACGGCGATGAGGTCCTCGCCCTCCAGGCTGAGCCCGGGGCGCACGTGGACCTTGGTGACTTTGCCTCCCACGGGCGCCGTCACCACCGTTTCCATCTTCATGGCGCTGAGCACGCACAGAGGGTCCCCCTTGGCCACCGTTGTCCCCTCCTTGACCCGGACCTCGACCACCTCCCCCGGCATGGGGGCCCCCACCTGGCCCTTGGCCCCCTTCTCAGCCTTGGGGTGCACGTGCATCTCCTGGGGGTGGGAAATGGGGGGGGTCCGGGGTCACCGCGGTGTCCCCAGAGTCACCCCAAGGTCACCCCAAGGTCACCCCAGGGCTCCTCACCCCGGGCAGAGCCCCCTGGAGTCCCCACAAAGTCACCCCTGGGTCCCCTCAGACCCCCCCAAAAAAATCCAGATCCCCCCCAAAATCCCCTCAGACCCCGCCAAAATCTCTTCAGATCCTCCAAAGTCACCCCAAACCCCCCCAAACTCCCCCAAATTCCTCCCAAATCCCCACTAAATCCTCCCAGATCCCCCCAAATTCTTCCCAAATCCTCTTGAACTGCCTCCAAATCCCCCTAAATCTCTCCCAAACTCCCCAAAATTTCCCCCAAACTCCCCCAAATCCCCCAAAACCCCCCCAAACCGCCACAAATCCCCTCAAAATCCCCCAAAATGCCCCCAAATCCCCTCGAATCCCCCCCAAAATTCCCTCAAATCCCACCTTGAGCGCCTGCGTGTCCCGCACCAGGATGGATCTCAGCTGCCCGTTGAGCTCGAAGAAAACCTCGCGCTGCCCGGCCGCGTTCAGGTCCCCGAGCGCCAGAGCCTTGATGTGCAGGGTTTTACCCCGCTCCAGCTCCACCTGGGAGTAAACGCAGAGTAAACCAGGTGTAAAGGGTGTAAATCAGGTGTAACTGGTGTGTATGGGTGTCCAGGGCTGTGTAACTGCTGTGTAAGGGCCTTGATGCGCAGGGTTTTACCCTGCTATGGCTCCACCTGGGAGTAAAGCATGAGTAAATAACGTGTAACTGGTGTGTAAGGGATGTGCAGGCTGCTCCTGGGCACCAGCTCCACCTGCGAGTAAAGTGGGTGCAGATGATGTGTAAAGGGTGTGTAACTGGTGTGTAAGGGGCTCCAGAGCTGGGCAAGGAGCTCCAGGAGTGCGCAGCTCCCAGCTCCTCTCCCAGTCCCTCCCAATCCCATCCCAGTCCCCCCCAGTCCCCTCCAGTCCCTCTCAATCCCCTCCCAGTCCCTCCCAGTCCCCCCCCCAGTCTCTCTCAATCCTCTCTCAATCCCCTCCCAGTGCCTCCCAGTCCTTCCCAGTACCCCTCACTCCCATCCCAGTGCCTCCCAGTGCCTCTCAATCCCCTCCCAGTCCCCCCCCAGTCCCTCCCAGTACCCTCCAATCCCCTCCCAGTCCCCTCCCAGTGCCCCTCACTCCCATCCCAGTCCCTCCCATTTCCCCCCAATCCCCTCCCAGTCCCCCCCCAGTCCCTCCCAGTCCCCCCCATTGCCCCCCAATTCCCTCTCACTCCCTCCCAGTCCCTCCCAGTCCCCCCCATTGCCCCCCAATCCCCTCTCACTCCCTCCCAGTCCCTCCCAGTGCCTCCCATTCCCCCCCAATCCCCTCCCAGTCCCCTCCCAGTCCCTCCCAGTCCCCCCCAGTGCCCACCTCGAACTCCTCGGCGATGGTGGGCCCCTCGAGGAAGAGGCGGGTGCCCAGGCAGGCCACGGGCCCGAAGGTGCTGCGGAAGGAGCGGAACTCGTCGTAGACCTTGGGGTAGAGCGCGGCCGAGAGCAGCTCCTCGGGGCTGGGGGGGGCCCCGTGCCGCGCCCCCAGCTCCCGGCCCAGAGCCTCGAAATCCAGGGGGGGGCAGCGACGCCCCCGGGCGCCCCTCGACCCGCGGGAGATCCTTCAGAACCTGGGGGGGACAAACGGGGGATTGGTGGGGCAATGGGGACAGGGGACATCATGGAAATGGGACAGGGGACAGGGGTCATGGCAATGGGACAGGGACACCATGGCAATGGGGTGGGTGCCATGGCAACCAGTGATGGAGGTGGCAGCAGGGACCGCAGCATCCCGTTGCCACGGCAACAGCCTCCAGTACCTCTGAGTGCATCCCAGTCCCTCCCAGCACCTCCCAGTCCCTCCCAGTCCATCCCAGTCCCTCCCAGTCCATCCCACTCCTCTCCAGTCCATCCCACTCCTCTCCAGTCCATCCCAGTCCCTCCCAGTCCGTCCCAGCAGCGCCCATCAGGCCCCACCTTGGAGCGGAAGGGCTCGGGGAAGCCGCCCGGGGGGACCCCGATGTGTCCCTGCAGGAATTCCACCACGCTCAGGGGGAAGGAGAGCTCGTCCGCCCGCGCCTCCACCTCCTCGCGGGAGAGCCCGTTCTGCACCATGAACTGCGCCAGGTCCCCCACCACCTTCGACGTGGGCGTCACCTGAGGGCACCAGGGGGCACCAGGGGTCGCCTCAGGGCCACCAGGGTGAGGTCACCTCGGGGTCACCTCACAGTCCACTCCTGGTTCACTCCTGGGGCAACTTGGGGTCACCCAAGGGGAGACCCCCCCCCCCAACCCCATGGACACCATTCTATGGACACCACCCCGCCCCATGGAGACCCCACCCCACAGAGAGCATCTGCCCCATGGAGACCCCAACCCCATGGAGACCCCCACCTCACAGAGATCCTCCACCCCATGGACACTGTCTGCCCCATGGAGACCATTCTAAGGAGACCCCCCACCCCATAGAGAGCATCTGCCCCATGGACACCATTCTAAGGAGACCCCCCCCCACCCCACAGAGACCTTCTCTTGGAGACCACCCACCCCATGGACACCATTTGCCCCATGGAGACCTTCATGGAGACCACCCACCCAATAGACACCATTCTGTGGAGACCACCCACCCCATGCAGACCCTCTACCCCATGGAGACCATTCTAAGGAGACCCCAACAACCCCATGGACACCACCCAGTGGACACCACCCACCCCATTGCCCCATGGAGACCTTGGAGACCTTCTGTGGAGACCCCCCACCCCATAGAGAGCATCTGCCCCATGGACACCATTCTAAGGAGACCCCACCCCATGCAGACCCCACCCCATGCAGAGCCCACCCCATGCAGACCCCACCCCATGGCCCCCGTACGCCCCCCAGGAGCCCCCGGTACCTTGATGAGGTCCCCGAGCAGCTTGTTGGCCTCGGTGTAGGCCTTCTTGACCTCCTTGAACTTGTGTCCCAGCCCCATGGCGTGGGCCTGGAAGTGCAGGTTCGTGTACTGCCCGCCCGGGATCTCGTTCTCGTACACGTCCGCGTTGCCCGACTTCATGGTGGCCGTGCAGTCGAAGGCGGCGTAGAGGCCCCGCGCCGCCTCCCAGTACTCGCTGTACTCGAACACGCGCTGCAGGTCGATGCCTGGGGACAAGGGACACGTGGGGACAGCTGGGGACACCTGGGGACATGGCAGGGACATGGCAGGGACATGGCA